AGCCAGTCGTTCTTCCAGGTTTGCGTGCAACGCCTGTAGCTGCTCTTCCGTGATGTTTGCGAGCAGTCTTTCTGCACTGTTGTCGGTCCCAGAAGTCCGGGAGGAGACCGTGTTGATGGAAGACAACGTGGAGCTTCGAGTCGGTTTCGATCTCGCCTTTACCATGTCTTGATCTACTTGATCTGCGAATTTCTCGAGTACTGGTGTAGAAACGGGAGAGGTAGATAAGTTGTCTTCGAATTGCCGTGCGCCTTCGGAAATCAACGGAGGTAATGCAGCCACGCCTGAAGTGAAGAAATGAGGAATCAGTAACGGGCTCGATGGCATAACGAGAGCCTCACGGTCACGACTCACTTCGCATGATCCTCAAGGCGACCTTCAGAAGAGTGGGTGCGTTCTCTGCAGCGGTCAACGATGAATAATAACCGGTGACGTGCACATGCAAATCGAACTCAGGTATGCCTAGAGAAACAGGTTGATATTTCAGTAATCAGTATAGCGCGAACATTCATACGGGACTGACCTGATTCGTGCTGAATGACCTCTCCAGCCTTGTTCTTTCTAGGCACACATACAGTCCATTGCGGCAATAGATTCAGCCTCTCCTGGGGTTCAGCGAGCCTGCGTAGGAGTCCTCGAGATCGTGGCGAATCGTCGTCGGACCGAGACCGCTCTTCGCCAGTTCTACCTTCGTGCAAGTAGTCTGAGGCGGCTTCGACGTAGTTTGAGGCACCCACGAGCGCAGCCTTGGCCATCGGTTTTGCGTAGTTGTTCAGTCCTGATTTCGCCTTGGAGGCCCATGAACTTGCCGAGGCGCTGAAAGAGAAGGACGACGAGGTCGACGACCCTAGCGTTGGTCTCCGAGGATTGGCCATTGGGTTATTCAAACCTTCAGGCTGGGTACGGCTGGTGGTATTCGAATTGTTCGTTGCTGCGGTATTGATGCGGGAAACCGAACCGGGCTTGGGCGGTAGCGGCGGGGGGACTCTTTTGCCCGACATGGTAGGTGATGATGCTCTGGCTGGTAGGAAAGCTCGAGGTAAAGAGCTTGTCATTCCATAGACCTGGGCAAGTCTAGAATTCACGGTTGGTCGTTTGCGGCGGTGGGTGGACGCAATCGATAGGACGCAAGACTCGGCTGAGATGATCTCGCGCAAGTAATTACGAGGGTATAGAGCTATATATCGTAAGATCGATGCTGATTCGGGCGTGAAGGCGGTTGTCAGACGGTGGGCGACTGCGAACAGACTACGAACCGGACTCGATATTCATAAGGATAGTAGTTATGACGAATTAGGATCAGGCTCAGGCTCGGAATAGCGAAACACGTGACCGGTTCGAAGCTACGGTGTCGCGGTGTCGAGTTACTTTCCCATCAGTTTCATTCATGGTCTACTACGGTATTTCTCTTTCACCTCTGGATGCGCTCACGTCATCTCTTGATTTTATGCACTTGTTACAAACAATCATGATTTCCATGTCACCCTTCATATTCCAGGAGAATGGTTCTTTCCTTTCGACAGGAATACAGGTACACCTAATATTACAAAATCCTTGCGTCGCTACTGCCCAATCGATGACCAGGAGACGACCAAGGAGCGGTGGTATGCCACGATGAATGTCGTTATTGATAGCTATGAGAGGCGGAAGACAAGACTCCGAAAGCGGGACAAGGCAAGCCCGCCAAATGGTGGACAACGTGGAATGATGCCGACGTTGGGTCGTTGACTTGGCCGGCTTGAGTAGTCCCGATCTACTGGCAGACCCCGCCAAGAGGCGCAGGTCAGTGCCCTGCTACTATGCATGCTGGTTTGTAAAACCCCGTATAGGTTCACGTGTTGTGAGGTGGATCGGGCTGAGACTATTATCCTCTTTGAGCGGGCGCAGGTGAAGGCGCTCGTCGGCCCAGTACGCTAAGATCCAAGCCGGCTTTCCTTCTCATTCTGTAAATTCAAGGTCAATATCAGCCTCTGCTACTGTGCAGATTGTCAGAAGGTATTGCGCGCTTACCGGCTGGCAAAGTTCTTGTTGCCTAGCTCATCTGCAGAGCCCGGAGGTCCTAACGGCTGTCTGAGCACAATGGCGACTGGTGGAGCGTTGTTGCCTTGGCCGATGACGCCTGCATCATAATGACGAACACCAAAGGTGGTTCTGAGTACAACTTCATCAACAGACGAAGATCCTGTCGATGGCGACCGACGAGAAGGGACTTGAGTAGCCGAGGCGACCGATGTTGGCGAGTCTGACCTAGATGATTTGTTGGATGCCTCGGGTTGCGATGAATACGTGAAGCCGGGCGGTTGTGTGGTGACCGGACCGGCGGTGTTTGGAGGGGAGACCGAGTTGCCAAAAACTGTGTTGAATGCATTGTAAGCGGGCTTTTGCTCATCGCCTGAGGGTCGATCGGCATGAGTCCTTCTAGCAGGGTTCTGCGGTGTCGTTTCGTTGTCGCTCGGCTCTCGGAGAGGCGGAGTGAGGAGATGAGGCGGAGGTGGCGAAATCGACGAGTCTCGTTGCGGACCGCGACCTCTCTCATTTATACTTCCGTACGAGGACGAGGAGGGCGGCGGGCTGATGATGCTGTTAGGATGAGCGGCGGTAAAGTGAGCGGGATCGACCGAATGGGTCCTCTTGCTCATGCTTTGTCCTCTAGAATGGCTTTGTCGATGATTTCCATACGCCTGAGCTATTTCACTACGGGCTCGCAGATTCGCCTCGATCTGTTGTTTAGCTGCAAGACGCTGCTCCATGGCCGAACCTAGATTATTCTCGGCTGTCGGAAGAGGCAGTGAAGGATCGATGGTGTTGCGTGCGTGTCGACCGACGTTCAAGTAGCTTTCTTCATCTTGCGGCAGACCAGCTGAGAACGACGCACTGCCAAATCCGAGCGGGGCATTCTGTGCTAGGAATTGCATTTGCTGCTGTCTAGCTTGAATCTGATTGACAGCGAAGCGATTCAGCATATGTTTATCCGCTGCGAGCGATGCAACTGTGTGCTTACCTGCGCTTGTAACACCTGCAGACTAGCGAGTTCCTTGGCCTGCTGTTCCCTGACAGCAGCCAATTTCAATAGATCCAACTCGTTCTGTGTGAATCCTCCCATATGATGAATAGCTTCGTCCAGATTCCATCCGTTGATTCGTGCCAGATTCTGCGCTTGCACAACCTTTTGATTCAGGGCCTGCATGGCAATTTGAATTGCCAAGGTCTGTTGTTGTGCCTGGACTTGTTGACCTACCTGTTGAGCGCGTTGCAATTCCAATTGTTGCTGCTGTTGTTGTATCAAAGCAGCTTGCTGAACCTGCAATTGTCGCAAGTAGGCAGAATCGACCGAAAAGCCCTGTGAGGCAGATTGTGGACCACGCGGTCGACTTTGGTCAGCATACTGTCCATACGAAGGGCCTGTCCTTTCGTTGAACGACAACTGTGAGGGTGTTGCGGTTTCCTGATAGTTATCCCGATACCCTTCAGAGGGCTTCCCTCCTCGCAATGCATCTGCCGCAGATGTACCAGTGAAGCGTCTCGTAGTGTTTTGTTGACTCTCCATTCCCAACCCCATTTGCGACATCTGACTGTTCAGAGCCGCGTCCGCGTCCTGCTGGCTTCCTCGTTGAGAAGGGTTTGGACCGCCTGAATAATTTCGGTTGCTAGACATGGGCCGAGATGTACTGTTTTGCTGTCGAGTTTGCATTGTGATATGGGTCCTTCGATGCGAGTTTGGTATTGCTGCCTGAAATCGATGGCGTAGATGGACAGGAATCGATGATGTGTGTAAGAAAGATTGGCTGTTTTTTGATCGTGCGGGGCGGACGCTGGATCGTAGGTCGTGGCACAGATGCGGTAGTATAGTAGATTATGCTGTAACGATCGTGGATTATGCGGAGCTGAGTTGTTCTTGGGTGTTATTAGATCTTCCAGTCTGGGGTAGACCGCGCGTATCAAGTCGTCAAAAACGGAACCGTAAATAATGGCGAATCGAGGCGAAGGCTAGGGAGAATGTTGTGCGTCAAGACTGCTTCGAAGGGATGAATGAAGCCTGATGGATTCCTTCGTGCAGAGCGGGTTATCGGGAAAGTATTGTGCAAGGGTGGAGGTGACACAGCCTATTTGATGGATATTCCAGAACGAGAAGACGAGTAGAGAATAAGGTGGAAGTGAAGCTCAGCGTTATCAGCAAGGACCGCAGTATGTTCAAACACACGCCACTTACAGTACCGTGTCTTGTGCAAGGACGTGGGGAAGGATGAGCCTGTTATTAAGAAGGAATGCTACCAGGGGTGGAAGCGATAAATCGGGTAGTCGATATGAGTGTGAGATGGTTGATGGTGGAGAATGTGGTGAAATTATACGAGATTGGGAAAAGGCGTGTGAGAGATGTCGTCCAGTTGCTGCAAATGGCGTCCCGTTTCGACTAGGAGTCCAGTGTATGAAAGATCAAAGGCAGAAGAAACGAAGCCGACCGAAAGAGGTTGTTCGCCTTAGAGAAGAAGTCCTGCACAATGATACAGCGGATGGTCCAAGAATTTTAATGTGACTCTCTCATTCCTCGCGATATTGCTACGAGATGATTCCTCGCGTGTCGCGTGCCTGCGCGTGCGCTTTTGCCGTTGAGTCGGATTATATTATAATCGGTAAGGGGGTATGAAAAACACCTCTAATAGCTCCTATAATGCTGCACAAGATAGGTCGCAGGAGCGGTCGTAGGTCGTAGCGTAGGTCGCGTAGGTCCGTAGGTCGTAGGTCGCGGGGATCGTAGGTCGCAGGTCGCAGGTCGCATGCCCTCGTTGGAATTTTTGCCTTTCGCCGCAACGCCAGGCGCTATTATCAGTTGACGCGGCAGAGTCAAAAGTCAAAATGTCCCAGAGTCGGGTGCCGAATTTCGATCGTACCCAAGCGGATCAAAATCGTTCCCAGCCATCATCTTCGATCAGGCCTTTGGAATTTCGCTCTATCTTGAAGAGAAAGCTATAGATATATAATATAAAACTCAGTTATCCAGTTCCTCTTTGGCCAAGTGGCTACGGCGTTCCACTCGTATATTGTTCAGCGATTAAACGACATGGAAAGATCACTCGTTCGATTCGGGTAAGAGGAGACGATCTTTTGACCGCTGAAACGTCTTTTTGCGCGCTCTGAAACAACCTTATACATGCGTTAAGACTGTCCAAGAAGAGCTTACACGCCTTACTGATGCTCTACGGGAAGCTGAGGCAGCGCTGCGGTAGACAAAGAGCTGCTTGAACACAGCGGGCTTCCCAAGTGATCTTTTTTGCGATTTACGACCGAGTAATATACACCACTATACCATGTTCTTTCAGAGATTTCCATATCCAGTACATTTATGAACGCCCACAAAGTAACACAATAACACAAGTACAATGAACACTTTACTCTTACTAACACCGTCTTCCACTCTAGGGACCAGCCTGAATCGTAAAAATCCCCCATCTACTTCGCCTTAGGCCCGAGATTCCTTGTCTGCTTGCGCCTGTTTGGCCTTCAATCTTGCCTGAGCTGCTAGTTGGAGGCTGTATGCCCTGGGAGAAGAAGCCTGGAAAATTTCATCCATCTGCTCCAGGGGAATTTGCTGTTGCGCGAGATGGAAATTGTTCGTCAGCCGATCATGTAATGGTGCAGCATCCCTCACACCCCATAGACGTACCTTGGTTTCCACCGCGAAGAAGTAGATGACAAAGATACCGACAAAATCGAAAACGGCAAAGATAATATAGGCTGCACAGGCGAGCGAGGCAAGGGATAACCTTCAGCATAGGTACAAATCACCGCAAGGTGCAACTCTGACTTACTTTTCCATTTCAGCACACTAAGTGCGACGGGCATGCCGAACGTGTTGATACATGATACCGCCTGTGTGGCGAGTGATTGCACAGCCAGACCCTTGGCTCGAACCTGGTATCGATTAACATAAGGGGGAGGGGATGGTCAGCCAAAGTGTCGATAAACATAGCGCTCTCTCGACATACCTCGTAAGCGAGGACCTCGGTGGGGTACAAGCCTATGAACAGGGATGTTAGTGATGATAAATGGCACAGAGCTTCACTAGCCTACCTTGTAGCGGAGTCCAACCAAGGGAAAAGAATACCATGAAGAGATAAATGAACGTAACACCAGCTTCGGCTCGTTGTGTTGTCTGTGGTCCAGAAGGAGATAGCAGCCCTGCCACAATGGCCATGCCGATGGTGCAACAGATACATGCGAAGAGCATAAGCTACGCGACGACGGGTCAGCGTCACAAAAAAGCAAGGACATTCAACCGATCTAAAGCTCACCTTTCGTCGTCCAACTCGATCAACGATCGCAGTACCGGTAAGTGCACCGATGAAACTCGTCACACTGGAAACATAGCACTAGTAAGCACTCAACGGCAGTCGCATACCGCAGCGCGACTTACCTGTTCACAAAGTTCAAAGTCAAAATCCTGTCTTGCGATTTGATACCCGCCTGTGCCAGCAGGATAGTCAAGAAATCTGTTCAGCAGAAGAGATGCTTGTCAGAATTGAAGGAATCGCCCAGTAGTTGCCTACTTACATGTAATCAAACCGTTCCCAGACAGCTGGCCGTAGACCGAAACCATGAAACACAAGCCAAGACGATATCGATTTGCTGCAGAGTTGACGAGCTTTCTGAAATCCCACCATCGTTTATCGGCACCGTCGAGCGAGATGCTCTCCTCAATCTCTTCAATTTCAAAGGCAATGAGCGGCGAGTTGATATCGCGGTCTCTGGAATGCAAATTGGCGAGGATTTGTCGAGCTTTCTCCGTGTCGCCTCTGGAATAGATCCAACGCGGACTTTCTGGCAAAAGTGCCATGACTATGAGCAAAGGGGGTTAGGCATGTAATGCATCAAGTCCAGGCACGTACTCACAACCAATGTTGATCAAAGGCGGACCCAGCTGAATGAACAGGGGCACTCTCCATGAATAGTCGTCGCCGCGCCTTCCCATCGGGACTGCAATGCCAGAGGCCAAGATTTGTCCGATATAGTAAAACGAGTTGAGCCTAGAGAGAGAGAGAGAGAGAGAGAGAGCAAAAGAAACGCCATGTGCCGATGAGCGACAGGGGCATGAGTCACAGAATTTGAAACTTACAGTCCCATACATCGACCTCGATTGTGCGGCGAGCTAATCTCAGCCATGTAACTCTTGCTGGCCAGCGCAGCGGTAGTGCATCCAAGACCTGTCAAGCATAACATACAATGTTTCAGCAATTAAACTACGATAAGGTTGAAATCCTAACGCTTACCAGTCAAAAACCTTCCGGCAGTAAACCTACTCGAGGACAATCAGTTACCTTAGATGAAGTCATATCTGCAGCGCCGCTTACATCGACATATTCCTAGCGTTTGCAGAGAGCAGGGCACCAAGGCTGTCAAAACAAATTGGAGAGGGTTCAGTAAGGCGCATGCGCAGGAAAACATGATAACGGGTCACTCACAGCAAAACAGTGTTTCCAATTACCATTGTCCATCGTCTCCCTATTTTATCGGGCAAATACGAACCAGGGAGAGAAGCACAAACACCACCGATGGTATAGATTCCGAAAACTGTGAAGTGCAGTCGAAAGGCTCAGGATCCACCATTCGACGAACAAGCAGACCGTTACCAAACGTACCGAGAGCTAGATTTTAAACGAGAAGAGCATGAGCAAACGCTGATCCCGGGAGGTAAGGAGGGATCAACGTACAAGTCTTTGTCGCAGCTGCATTCATTCCAAAGTAGTTCTGATATTGCTTCATACCGTTGATGGACGACATGGCTGCAAAAGATGCAATTCGTTACTTTTGGAGACCAGCATTCGTCTGAAGTGGTTTCGAACAGACTTACTGGTGGCATCCAAGCCCGTGTCTCCACCACAGCAACAGATGACAAGAACCATTCCCCAAAACTGCATGGATCGCTTGCTGGACCAGAGCAGCCCGGGATCAGCGGCTTGTGCGACCTTGAGCATAGCTTGCTTCTCCTCGGTCGTTCGGCGAGGACGGGTTTGGCCCGAAAGTTCATGGTTGGGGCTGTAGCTGTCGGACCGCTGAAAGGCGTCCTTGTCTTCTACATGATCCGAAGAACCAAACTTCTTCTCTTTGGAATCCCTGTCCATATTGTGGACGTTGTTGTGCGGATAGAGTTGATTATTAAGTGGACCTGATGAGATGTCAGAGCCGGGGCAGCGATATTGGAGTACACGAAACCCATACTAGTGGTCGACAGAGAGGATTGATGAGTTTATATAAACGCCAGACTACCTGCATTCTCACAGCAGGCGCATCATCAGAACAATATCACCTAGGGTAAGGGCGGGAAGCCACCCAGGATTTACAACGCCTAAACCAGACCGTGTGATGACTGTGAACGCCGTTGTGCTGTATATCGATTTACTACTTGCCTAGCTACAGTATTGTACTGTAGCCGGTAGCTGGTGAGCTAGCCCCGTCAATTACTGTACCCTGCCTGTGAAGCCAGTGGCACTAGCTGTGGCACTTGTTCTTTACGCCAAGCCAGAGACTCCTGCGCTGGACACGAACGAAAACATCATCAACTCATCAATACCCTGTGGCCTTTTTTGAGCGTAATTCTCAGAATTATTCTCAGTGGCGATCAAACCTTTTGGCTTTTACCGAGGTGTATCCGAGCTTGAGGGACGGAACAGCTTGTTGTATGAAGTGTTGCGGGGCCTGATGGGAGGGTGATGGTGAAGAAGCTTAGGCCCAGACAGCTTCTCGAAGACATGCTATCACAAGTGACAATTGGCAGGACCAACAGATGAGACGTACCGTCGCGCCCCCGGACACAGTCATGATGGCTACTGCCAACGATACTTACGGCAGCTCTCCCATGCTCGAATTTGTATTGGCTACTGTTTGACACAATCTTGCAAAGCTGTGTTGCAAGAGCTTTTACAGCAACTACAGGTGCCAGCTGCTCTTGGGAGGGCGACTCGGTAGAGATCTCTCGTTATGACTCGGTCTTTCCCGGTCCGATATCCCTTTCTCCGTCATTCCAAAGCAGTTACAAGCGCTCAACAGCTCGAAGCACTCTCAAGCTCACTTGAAGCACTCGAATGAGCTACTCGAAGCCTCATAGCCTCATCAATCTGCCAGCTAATTTGCCTCTGGTGGCTCAGCTGTTTGCTAGCTTGTTTGCTCCTCCAGGCCACGCCCTCAACAGCTTCCTTCGCTGTTTCACTTGCGAGCTCTTTACCTTATGATTGCTGAACGCCGTTCGGGTAGCATTTCCATGAAAGTGAAAACCCCTTGCCAGATCCACAGGCACGCAGTCCAAGCAGATATTGTTCAGCCTGTTCAGGAAGCCGTTCAGCACGGTTCACTCATCACCCAAACACTCTAGTACGAAACCATTGACCTGTCTGAACAGTTCCCTGACGGTCACTCAGCGTTGGATGCGCATTAAAGTGGAGCGAGATGCTGTATGCCAACCATAATCATACAGCACAATATACAACGGTGGTATCGAAACAAGGCGGAAACACACGTCTCTATAATCGATACATGACTTTTGCTAAACCGACAGCGCTTGTCGCATCAGCGTCCTACTTCCGCTTGGAACCCTTCTCTGCACCACCCCGACGGTCAACCTTTACTTTCGGGGTTTTACGTTCACGATTACGGTTCTTGACGTTCTGGAGGAGGCAACATAGGGATCAGTCCAAGCACAGGTTGAGAATGACGGATTCGACATACCGCTGTTGTATAGTAGTTCTCAGCCTTCTTCTTGTTCGTGGTCATACGACGCTCCTTTGCAGGTCGTTCGTCTTCCAGTTCACCCTCGGCAGCTAAAAAAAATGGAGCAATACAGATAAACAAGGGGACACGTGAACATGGACGAAATCTTGCTTACCTCGCTTTCCTTTATTCGCAGGCTCTTCAGTGGCTGGCTGTTTGCCAAGACTCTTGGCCGACCTAGTTGACATCTTGTCACCTTCCTCAACGACTTCATCCCAAGCCATGGGCGCTTCCTCCTCATCTGCCTCTTCCTCATCACCCTCCTCTTCTTCGTCATCGTCCTCCTCAGCGTCTGATCCCTCTTCCTCTTCCTCTGCATCAGACTTATCGTATCCA